CAACTGCCATGGGCCCATGACCTTTGAGGCAAAATTTGATGACAATGATGGAGGCTAGAAAATTACAGCTGCCGACTCTTCGCTGATCATACGTCGAACAAAGATATAGATGGGAGCCATGAACTTAGCCGACCCCAATAATCTCTGTGCAATGCCTGTGTTTCTACATTTAGCGCGCACAATCATGTCTGTTTCTACACCTAACTCCTCTTTTTTTTGCCTTTTGCCTCCCAGATAGAGCTCACCAACAAGGTTTTTTCACATTAAAAAAAAAAAAAACAAAAAAAAAACGGTTTTAAGTTTTATGTTTTAACACCATCAAATCACACTTCTTCATCATTCCAAGGAGCTATGACAAATTGACAATGGCTCATGAAATTCGGCACACACTCGTTCCTCCACTCTACCCATTTTTCAGCAAATACTTCCACAATATAGGAGAAACAAACACCTCAATCCACCAACTGGCCTAGCTCAGTCAGCTCACTAGAATCAGATGAGGGTTGAAATACAGACCTCAGTTCGAACCCCACTAGAATCAGATAACGGTTGAAATACAGACCTGAGAGTTCCGACCCCACTAGAATCAGACGACTGTTGAAATACAGACCTGAGTTCGAACCCCACTGGAATCAGACGACTGTTGAAATACCGACCTGAGTTCGAACCCCAATGGAATCAGATGACTAAAAAAATAGTAAAAAAATACTAAAAATATACTGCAATTCTGAATTACCTAGGACCGGTCAGTTCAAATGATGTTTTTTTTTTTAAAGAGGAAGGAGCAGTTTTATCAAACACCAAAAGATGGAGGCTGGGAATCCCTTCCACATCTCAACCCGGACCAAAGTTTTTTTTGTAATCGAAAGGGAAAAAAAAAAAAAAAACAGCCGAGTCCCAAGTTCTCCCAACACACCTAGGCTACCAAAGTTGCCCGGGACCACTTGCCCGGCCCGGAAAACAAAGGAGCTCGAGAGGAACACAAATTAGAAAAAAGATTCAAATTCAAAAAAAAAAAAAAAAACTCCTAACTACATTTTTATTTAAATTTTGGTAACGGATTTCGATCTGACCCTGAGGCAAAAGTTGTTCAGTAACGTAGTTTTCTTTCTTTTTTTTTTTTTCTTTTTTTTTTTTTTGCCAGGGCCTTCTTTGTCCCTCGCACGGCCGGGCCGCCCGGGCAAACAAAGTGACCCGGGCAGCCCAACTGGTAGCCTCGCAACACACGTAGAACTCGATTTTTTTTTTTTTTTTTTTTTTTTTCTAAAACACCAACGCACATAGAACTCAACTGCTCGTATGAGTCGTATCTAACAACACCGCCTTACCGATCAAGGAGCATGCACGTGGTCCCGAATGCGACCACATGACGAACAGACAAATATGTCATAAAAGGACATGGAACAAGGCAGGCCATTACATTTCCTGCCAACAGCTTTAAGTGCACTCTTAATGCTACGACTGCTTTTTTGAACATTAACATACGTTTAAATCGATTCAAATTTCAAAGCATTTAAGGAAAAAAAAAAGAAATCCTGGCTCCTTGGAAGTAAGATTCTGGATGCCCATTCGGAGCACCTCGATTAACTCTCCACCTGTACACAAAACTATATATGTACGTGGCTCGTTCCACCACTCTCTCGCTAAATGGGAAAAAAAGGAGGACGCACCTGGACACACACTACTGCAAGTTACGGTCGTCATTTCGATATATGCGGCGAGTACGCCGAGTAACGGAGCAACGAGCACCGAAGACGATGTCCTTACGACGCGGACCCCCCTCAGAACGAAGACGATGTCCTTACGACGATCCTTGCGATCCTCTCGAGCTCCTTGTGACTGGGCGAGACTTGCCTCGCAACCCTCCCCTCTTCCATCGAGGAGGACGACGCGATCTCTGCTGTCAATCATATCGCATTCCTATTCGTCGAATTCGACAACACCTCTTTTCCTCCTCCGGACGCCACAACCCTCCCCTCTTCCGTAGAGGAGGACGACGCCATCTCTGCTGTCAATCGTACCGCATTCCTATTCACCGAATTCGACACCACCTCTTTTCCTCCTCCGGATGCCGCAACCCTCCCCTCTTCCGTCAAGGACGAGGACGCGATCTCTGCTGTCAATCGTACCGCATTCCTATTCGCCGAATTCGACACCACTTCTTTCCCCCCTCCTCCGGACGCCGCTACGTTCTTCTCGACCACCATCTCCTCCACCCCCACAGCTACATTCTCCTCGACCAGGTCACTCCCTCTCTCCTCTTTCCGGCTTTCCACGCTCATCTCGTTCGCGGATATCTTATCTCCTGCTGTCGCAAAGGCTTCGGAGTCACCCCTGGAACCGATACAAGGGTCATCCAGCCGACAACCGTCGACATCGTCGTCTCTGTAAATAGCCCTGCCATCATTACCAAGGAGTAATGTCAGGGCAAAACCACCCTCCGGGCCCAAGCACGCTTCACCCCTCTGGCGAACAGCAGCCCCAGCTGCTTCGTTGCTGCGATCGATTGCCGACAGTGTCCGCGATTCCAGATCCCCAACGGGATAATACTCGGCGAGATCACATTCATCGACGGCAACTTCTGCGGTCTCGACGGCCTTACCGTCCATCCTTCCAACAGCATCGCTCGGGTCGTTACCTCGCCGTCGCTGATCCGCATCAAGATCGGTAGAGTCAACCGGGCCATTTCCGTGGTCTCGCCGATCCGTACCAAGCTCTGGAGAGTCGATACGGTCATTTCCTTTGCATCGCCGATCCGCATCCAGCTCCATCAGCCAAGCCTCCAGATCTTCCACTGTATCAATGTCTTGCAGGATGGGCATCATCTTCGTCGGGAGGACAGAGATGCCATTTCCCTGTGCCAGCTTTATCGACAGATCAAGAACCTCAGGCGTACTCCACGGTATATCCTGCAACATTGACATCACTTGATGGTATCAGTTTTTTTTTTCTTTTTTCTTTTTTTTTTGGGGGGGGGGCAACTTTGTGTG